TCTGAGTTTCAAAGAGAATTTAGTTCAATCTCTACCACCCAAGATAGTTCAAGAATTGCATATCATTTTGTATGTAATTTCGTTGGTCTGTAATAAGTTTTTATCTACACCCTGTGATAGAAAAAGAATGTATAGAATGGACGTAAGAATGATTGTTCTATAAAGAATTTTATTTTGCTATGCACCCATTCAGAGTTTGTTAATCAAAGTTCAAGTCAAAGATAAGAAGAAGTTGACCATTGACTTCATAGTTAGTCGGGATCTGTGATCGGTGCGACTCGTTCTAGGACTAGTAGGTATTTTGGGACAGATCGTGTCAACACGTGTTCATGAGAGAATCAATAGGAACTTAATCGGTAAAACAAACATTTGGCTTGACTATATAACTATGAACCTCTAGTATAAACTTCCTCTCCAAGTTATAAAGGATGTTTTTAATTAGTATAATAATTTTGAGATCAATGAATATTTGTTAATTAATTAAAAAGTTTAATTATTTTTTGACATACAATTAATTAGTTCGATATCATTGGAATTAATTAATTTGGGTCACTAGGTCCCTTTGGTTATTTACAGACTCAATATGAATTTATTTAGTTGAAAAGATATTTGAATTGTTTAAATCAAATAAATTGGGTCATGGCTAAATTTTCTCTCCGAGAAATTTATTTGATTAATAAAGGTCTTATTGTGGAAAATAGTGCTAATTTGAAAATAGGTTACATTCTAATTTGATAAGATAAACATTCACATCCAAAAAAATTAAAAACAAAACAAATCTACTCATTTTCGTAACTTGCTTGACTTGAGATGACCCGTTCTTATAGAAAAATTGACCTATTGAAAATGTTATCTCGAGCTAAATTACCTATAATGGATGACTAATAGCTAGAAGTTGGTCAAAATCAAATATAAATTAATTGGTTAGAGTAAATATTTTCAACCACAACGTTTCAACAATTTAAGTATCACTTATGACGTCGTGTATGTTTATCAAGTCAGATGAATTAGAATGGCTTTTGAACAAGGCCTATATGAATGTAGAGGCAAGTGCTACTTAAAATGAGTGTGCCTAAAACGAAGTTCCGATCTCTAAATGGATCTATTATAGCTACTCGGTCTCAATCCATAAGTTCGAATTTCGACCCCAAATCAATAGGGAAATTGACATTTGTAATCCAAGAATTTTCTTCTCGACTGTCCTCAGTTTTGACCTGTAAATTTTTTCACCAAACTAAAGTCAATTTTGTACTTTCACCGTTGTTGACGGGTCAGAAAAACATGTAAATGAGATAGGACTAACTTGTTATTCTAACCTTTTGCTCAATCATCTCGTGGAATTATTTTTCGGTCTCTCATTTATTTCTCCCTACACAATAATGTATAATTTTTCTCTCTTTTTTTTTGGCTACTTTTCTTCTCCATCTCTGCCTTCACTACTTTTTTTTTTTCTTTTTTCGCTGCTCTGAAAATTGACAATCACAATTTTTACTTGAATTTTTTTCTCTGAATTCAAATTCAAATTTTACAAAATTGCTGAATAATTTAATTCACGAGATCAAGCCTACTTCCTCAAATCACAAACCCTCAAAATTTTCACTCATAATCAACACCATTTTTTGTATGATTTTTTTTAGGTTAAAAAACACATTTGGTCTCTTTCACCAAAGTAACAATTTAGTCACTGAACTTCAGTCTGTAATGATTTAGCCTATGTAATTTAAAATTTGTAACAATTTAGTCCTTATTGTAAAAATTTTTATTAAAATGAAGTGTGAAATTTTATCATATAGCAATTTAATCTTTCTAATTCATAAACATATTTGGTCCCTTTTTAGTTTATCAACCTATAAATACAAGAAACTTAACAAAAAAAATTTCACGATAAGGATTAAATCATTACCAACTTTAAATTACAATGACTAAATTGTTACATATTAAAGTTCAAGGACTAAATTGTTACCAATTTGAAAGTATAGAGACTAAATCGTTACAAACTAAAGTTTAGGAACTAAATTGTTACTTTAGCGAAAGTACACAGACTAAAACTATTTTTTAGCTTTTTTTTTTCATGCACCATCTCTTATGCCATTTAAGATATTCTTTTTTTAATCGATTTCTCATCTCCGCTCGTCCATCTCCTCTCCCCTCTCTCGATAGCTCTCTAAATTTTAGAGTGAGGAGTTATTTTTTTGACAACTTGAGATATGGCAAAAAAAAAGTTAGGAAAATAAGTAAAATAGCAATAAGGTTTGGGTTTTTCAAATATAGCGTTCTTTTAAATTACAACGATACCCTGCAGCCTAAACAAACCATAAACACACGCCCAAAATGTTGGTGGAAGCCTAGAAAAATCCTAAGTTTCTATTTACCTCTGATTTCTAATTGATTGCCAATTCATCTTTTTCCCTTCGATTTCTCCTTCACAGTAATTTCGAAAATCACCATTGACGTTCAYATTCACGTTCCTTTCAAGTTTTCTTTCTCAATTTCAGTAAGTATCAAATTTCTTTCTCATTTTCCATGCATGTCAATACTTATTGATTTCTAATTGATCGAAAAAAATACAAGACAAAGGGTCAAAGCAGGTAAAATAGTGATTTACAATTATACAATTGATATATAACTATATAGAACTGATTGACTTTTGATATACTATTGATTTGGTTCTAATATACTAATGTTGACAGATATACTCTTGATATATATGTGATATTTGTTTGATATATATATGATATGAAATAGATTTACATCTGATATAACTATGATATCTTCTACTATAGGTGATATAGAATTGATTGACTTCTGATATACTATTGATTTACTTCTGAGGGCCAATTACCCTCATGGATGAAAATTCACCAAGTGATCCATGTGAGTAATTTGAAAGCCTATCACCCGGACACCATCGACCCCGCACGTAACGAAGTGATTCGACCAGCAGTCACCTTGAACAACAAGATAAAAAAAGAAGTTGAAGAAATCCTAGCTGAAAGAACTCGTCGAGTCGGACGACTGAGAAGGGACGTACAAGAATTCTTAGTCAAATGGATAGGGCTTCCGAAAGAAGAAATCAGTTGGGAGCGCGCAGAAGATTTGAAATGAGCATCAACCCAGATCACAGAGTTCGAGGAATGTCGGTCAGATATACTCCTGATATATATGTGATATATGTTTGATATATATATGATATAAATTGATTTACTTCTAATATAACTATGATATCTACAAATTATTTCAAACATATTACCTCTAATATGTTTTTTGATATATTACTAATATACGAAATAACTTTTTTCAGATAAAAGCAATGGTACAAACACGAAAAATGAAATAAAAAAACATGGTCGAAAATGTCGATGTCGTTCGTCCCAAAAGTCAACATAAACCAACGGAAAAAGTGTTGTCTATGGAAAAACCGAAAGCTTCAAAGATATAATCTCCGAAGACACAACAATCACCAAGAAGATTGATGGCCTAAGCTTTGACCTAAAGATTACACAAGAATGAAACTCATGCTTTTATAGATTGTTGGAACTTATGCTTCTTCTTTTATAGACTTTTAAGAATGACATTGTTAGTCTACTTTTGGTTTATGCTACTGGTTAGTTATGATGTTTAAACCTTTAAGTTTTTGGTTGAAGAATTTGTTGCTTATTTGATGTTGACGTTGATACCCAAGAATGAGGTTTAAACCTTTTAAGAATGACATTGCTTCTGATTCCGGTTTAATCTTTAAAACTTTAAATTAAACTTAATTGTACTAGTGATATATGCACGATGTATACTTGATATATCACTGATATATTAATGATATATAGATGTACTATTGATATAACTATGATATACATACTCATGTAATGATCTAAATTATGTCATAAACATTGACTTACAGAAGCAAAATCATATAAGCAAACTTTATTGGGTGCACACATTGGGTTGTAATAAAAAAAAAAACTACTTTATTATAAAATTCAAATCATAAAAGCAATGTTTTGATATACATTATTGATATACTGCACATCATTGTTCAACAGGTCCAAATTTACAAGTTCTACGATTGTGTCCAACATGTTGACAACGTTGGCATCTTGTGTGCTTCGCAACTCGCCGATTGAAGGAATCCAAAAATAATCAATATACTACTAAAATTAAAAAACATTATGTAAGTAGCTGATGTATTATATATTGATTATATCACTTATAGATATATCCTATATTGAGTATATCAGTTATAGATATACCCAATATAAAATATATATAAATGTGATATAGCTCACTGATATAATTATATATCAGTAATTAATATCACTGATATTAATTCATAGCAAAATCCAAAAAATAATCGATAACTCAAAAACCCAAACAATTACCAATTCATGGATTATTGAATATTACAATTCCTCTCTCAAATCTCTATCAATTACTTTATTAAATATCTAACAATTTCATTACATAAAAAATATAGTAAAAATTCAACAAGTTCAAAATGGAAGAAAATATTGAACTATGAAAACTTGAAATGTGAATAAAATCATAGGTAAAATCTGAAATTGACCAACATGCAATTTGAAGTCAAAGAATAATAAATCTGAAACAAAATCTAAAATCGAAGATGAAGAAAATCAAATACTACGAGCGAAGATGAAAGCTTCAGTGATCGACGATGAAAGTTGGGAGCAAAGATGAAAGACCAGAGATCGAAGATGAAAGTTGTCAAGCAAAGAACGGGTAACGAAAATCAAATGAAATAAAAAATTAGAACTCGAACTCGAACGAAATTGAACTCCTGAGAGCGAAGATGAAAGCCTCACTGATCGATGATGAAATTTGCGAACGAAGATGAAACATTTAAAATAATAATAATAATTAACCTTCTCGTAATTCCCTATCAAACTAATATTCAAATGAGTGCCTCGTAAATTTTGGGTTCAAATCAGTCAATATCCCTTAGAAATTAGAATAATGAAGTTTTTTAAAAAATGTCGCGCTCGCTCAAATTTAGGTTATTCTGGCAAATACCACATTCATCGTCTTCCTGACGCTGTTACAAAGCCGTAGAGGGCGGAGTTCAGCGAATGCAAGAGCAGAGATCAAAAATGGAGGAAATTTCAAAAATACTCCAAATCTATGAGCTCCAATATTCCGACCTCTTGCTCTTGTCTTCGCCTTACCATTCTTCATCTTCAATGCCGCACAACGAACGGATCAAATCGATAAACGAATCGATTCTTCAAGCTCTAGGTCCCAGTGGACCTGGCCTTCTCGCAATCGTCGGCGTCCCTAATTCTTCTGTTCCCCGCCGAGCATTATTGCCTCTCGCTCGCAATCTCGCGCTGCTCAATCCTGAAGATCGGAAACGGATTCTTAAGGTTTGATTAACCTCATCATTTTTTCATCATTTCTCTCTGTTTCTCTCTCTTGTTCCCTCTCTTTTTGTAAGTATGTAGTTCTTGGCCTCTTTTGCCTTAACGAAGTGAATGTTTGGAGAAAATGACTGAGGAATCGGAGATTGATGGTACTCTTCTCTTTTATTTTGAATGCCGTATCGGAATTCGGCGTGGTCTCTTTTGGAAATCCTTGTTGAAAGGATGCCGATCTTTCTGTTGTTTATTGTGGTTTTCTTCTGTTCAACAAAACCGAAATAGGACATGGAGTGGCGACGGATCGTTTTGAAATGTCTCGAGATAATGTCGTAGTTGCATCCGTTTAAACTGGTTGCATATCCGTGACAATTATTGGAGATTAGATTTTGGTAGAACTCTAGTTGATTTTCTGTCTTTTCTTTTTCTCATGTCTATCTTAAATGATTTTGCTGATCTGAGTGTCTCGGTTCTTTTTGTTGGTTATGTTATTAATTAAGATTTTATCTCAGAAGTTTCGGATCAACGAGTCCCTTTCTTGTTTGCTTTTCATGAGATATTGGCTTAAATGCTTTGTTCATTATAAACGTCTTCTTATTACATTTACATCCATCAAAGCAATCTTTCTAGCTTTCATGTAATTCTCCTCTCTCAGGATCATAACTTAGGAAGTGATGTTCCCTTGAGGAATCCAGAAAGAAGAGTATCCTCTTTTGCAATGCAACTCAAATATACAGACAGTAAGGGATTCTTGCAGAATAATCAAAGTCAGACTCAGAGAGAGGACAAACAGTCACCATGTTCAGTTGATCATTACAGTGATCGGATCGGGAACGAATTTCAGGACCATGAATTTAAACATCTTGGCAATTCATTTAAAGAGCTAGGAAGTTGCATGATGGAACTGGGGCTTCGCATTGCACGTATATGCGACCAGGAAATCGGAGGTCAAGAGTTAGAACAAAGCTTGTTGGAGTCCTGCACTGCAAAAGGCCGTCTCATACACTACCATTCGGCTCTGGATGCCCGGCTCTTAAGAAAACCAGCAAACAGCAAAGGAACTGCAAGAGACCGAGCTAGTTCTAGAAGAAATAAAGAACAGAGCATACACTGTAAACGAGAGCCAGCAGACAGTAAAGGTCTACGTCAATCAAGCTCTAATCTATGGCAGCAATGGCACTATGACTATGGTATCTTCACAGTTCTAACATCTCCCATGTTTCTATCGCCATCAAATACACTTGAGATTGAAGCACAAGATCTGTGTTGCTATAACGAGTGTACTTCTCCCGACAGACATTCGTATTTGCAAATTTTTGATCCTTGCAAGAATGATATTTTCATGGTTAGCACTCCACCAGAAAGTTTTATCATCCAGGTGGGCGAATCGGCTGATATTATATCGCAAGGGAAGCTTCGTTCCACTCTTCACTCTGTGTGCAGACCTTCCAAGCAAGAGAATTTGTGCAGAGAAACATTTGTTGTATTCCTGCAGCCAGCTTGGAACAAAACATTTTCCCTGTCCGGCTATTCCATTGAAAGCTCAATTTTGTCCAAGGAGAGAGAAGATCTTGTTGAAAAGGAGGGATCGATGATAACTCGAGAAATCCAGAAGATTGTTCCACCATTAGTGTCGAGGTTGAAGGAAGGGATGAAATTTGCAGAGTTCTCACGGGAGACTACCAAGCAATATTACGGAGGAAGTGGCTTGCAATCTAACAGATGATTCAGTTATTTGTAAGTTTTCTACTGCAAAAGTTACTTTCTTATCTTGATCCCCAATCAGTCCATGGTTGCAGTGGTTGATTTTAGTTTGTTGAGCAATTTTCTTGCCACGGAACTGATTCTTAATGCATTAACCTTGCTCCAAGTTCCACATTAACTTTTTAAGAGCCACGAACTTAATTTTACATAAATAGATTTTCAACTTTGCATCTAAGACATACACACAAGAAGTTGATCTTTTTCTTCGACCTCTTGTATTTTCCATTAACCTTTTAGTCATCATACTCTTTGGTTCTCCCTCTTTCTTAATGAGATTTGAGTTCAAAGTCTTTGCATCTGCACTGCCCAGAAAATAACAAATTTTCCTAACACAGGCTTATATTGGAAGAAAAATGGTGATAGAAATAACTTTGGAGTAAACACCAGAAAACCCATGATGGCTCTTTTGATATATCAAGCATAAAAAACAGAACTTACTTTAAAATGGAGGATAAAGCAGTAGCAGCCCTGAAAACAAAACATTCATTTATCCATAAATGCCTGAAGTTAACTTCAAATCTGACATATAGATATGGTGTCATATATTTTCTCTGGCTCACACAGGAACAATAGGGGGGCCCAAGGATTGAGGGGCGCTCGCCTGAAGCGAAACGATGGTGAAGAAAAGAAAGCCTTTCCCGTTCATGTCTCTGATACCCTAAAAATGGTCAACAGAGAGAAAAAGAGGTTGATGACATCAAGATAGATAGCCACAGCAGCCCAAATGTAATCATCATATGAATAAGCAAGGAGGTTCCCTGTGTCGTAAATGATATATCCACAGAAAATGATCGATGCCAAACAACCGTAGACCATTACAGAGATCCTACCTAATGGGAAGAAGAGCTGCAGCCATGAAAGTGGAACCAGAGGTAAGAATATCAAAAGAAAAACCTCAGATGGAACAATATGGACAGAATTGAGAGATGTTAATGGTGTTTGATGAAATGTCTAAGAGAAGCAGAGAACTACCTGAATCATTCCAAACACTAGAAGAATCATCAGAGCTCCAAACAGGAATGGACCAAGGAAGCTGAATTCGATCCCTCTTCTAGCAGCCCAAAATGTGTACACAGTGAGACTGATAACAGCCACGGTGGTCAGAATTACAGATTCCAGAATCACTTTCCCTGTGAAGCATCGAGGAAATTGGGAAAAATGTCAAAGTATGAGATTAGAGAGACGAACAAATAATGTGAAGGCAGATGCTCGATCTTGGGTCTGCAAATTTCCTAGAGTCCGATGCCACGGTATGTCTTTAATGTTTACTTGATACATATACTTTCATGTGAAATTCTTATAAATTCAAAAAATTTCAAAGGTTTTCCTATGTTCTTATATATAAAATATTCTCTCCCCCAAATTACAATTTTTTAGTCCACGCTTAGTATTTGTACTTTTAGAGGTCTTGGATGTTATTGTTAACTTATATGGCACGTTTCCCTTGGGGTATTGGAAATTTCCAAAAACAGTGGGATAAATTAATTTGAGGTAAAGTATAATGTTTTAATTTAACCGCTATTATTTAAAAAGTTTCAATTTAGCTCTTGCTTTCATTTTAGTCTCTCACCATTTGTGATAAACTTTAGATGAATATGATTAACTAGTGACTAGATTAGAGTGATAGAAAATTCATTTTAAAAAAAATGAAAATTTGAAACAACTTGTGAGAGAATTAAATTCCTCCAAATTTTGGTTGATTCAAAGTATTATGTCATCATCAATTTTAATATTTTAATATTATATTAAGAATGGGATAAACATAAGGGATTACAATAGGGACTAATGTAAGTTATATTTGAGACTAAATTGAAATTAAAAGAAATACGGACTAAAATCTCATAAAACTTATACTTGGCCTCAATCATAGAGGCTCAATTAAAATGGACTGAAATCTTAACTAACTTATCATTTTATTTTTTATTTTTTAATTTTTTGTTTTTTCTTTTTCATAAACCATTTTAAAATTGAAAAAAGTTTTTGTTTTTCAAAAATTTGATTTTTTCTTCTAACGCTCAAACTTTTTTTCTTTCTCATATTTATCCTTAAAAAATTTATTTCTCACTCTAAAATTTTTTTATTTCTAAATTTCTCTCTACAAATTTTTTTTCTCTTTCTAAAATTTTCATATTTTGAATATATATTATTATTTGTCCCCCTCCAAATTTATCTTTTTTTTTCTAAAAGATCAGTTTTATTTCCCTCTCTAAAAATTTAATATTTTTCCTAACTTTTTTCTCTCTAAAATTTCTTTTATAATTTTCCTTTCTCTTCGTTGAAAATTATATTTTATTTTCTCGTTCAATTTTATTTCACTGTAACTTTTATTTATTTTTGTAATTATTTATTTTCTTTAAAAATTATATTTTGAATCGTGTTATTATCTCTAAATTTGTTTCCACTATAATTTTTCTTTCTTTATAATTTTTTTTGTTTTAACATATCTTTTCCTCTCTACTTTAATTTTTTCCCTAAAATTTTCCTTTTTTGGTCTTTAATTTTTCTTTCACGGTTTTTTTCTAAATCTTTTTATTTATCTCTATAAAATTGATCTTTCAAAAGTTTATTTACACCTCTCTAAACTTGTATTTTCATATCTTTACATTAGGGGAAAGACAAAAATTTCCGTAGAGTCGGGTCCAATAATAGGAAAGGCATGTTCCGACCCATCCACATCCCTGATTCCATTTTTTTAATAATTAATATATATTTATTACACTTTTTATACTTAAATTCTAAAAATACTTAAAAACAATTATAAAACCGATAATTTTTCTTGAGGACCTCTCCCGGACCCAAGAAGGCGGAATTGCCACATATGAAATTGAGCACAATTTTGCAAAGAAATAGCCCACTTGTTTCTCGAGAAGAGATGGGAAACATGCTCAATATCATTTGATTGAATAGTTGACCCAGCTCCTTGTTGTTTKAAGAAGCCYTCCACTTCAATTGGTATTTTTTCACGAAAAGCAAACATGAGATAACAAATCCAGTCTTTCACTAAGATTTCGAATAGCTGTCCCGAATTCAAGTTGATTATGTTTCGCCTCTTCCTCGGAGAAAGACGATCAAACAATTCCCAATCATGGTCCTTGCGGATCTGATCATCCATATAATATACAAAAAGAAACTCCAGATATTTGATATCTTTCTCTTTGAATGAGATCTCAATTCCAGCGACGGTTTCATTAGATATCTTACAACTGGAATCCCTCTTTTTTCCGATCCAGTTCCTCCACCACCGCGAACCCCAGTTAGATTCAGGCATGATACACTTTTGTGGAGACGGAGACTTAAAATTTTCATGAGTACGAAAACAGAAAACAAAAAATATTATCAAAAATAGTTTTTGTTTTTTTAAAACAGAAAACCAAAAACCAAAGACAAGAAAAATCAAAAACCAAAAACTAAAATGATTATAAAGAGGCCCTAAATTACTTCCAAGTTTACTGTGTTAATTGTCTTCTGTTTCCCTCTAACATAACACTGTGTTTCTTCAACTACAGTTCATCATCAATGAAGCAACCATGGATCAGAAATTTCATCAGTTCCAGAAGGGAAAAAAAAGACAGGAAATTTACCGCTGGTAAAAGCACAAGTCAATCCAACAGCAAATGCCAGAGAAACAGTGAAGATTCCGAGAAGAATATAATTCACCGGGTGATACTGATGGTAATAGAACAACGGGCACAGCACTGCCAAATTTTCCGATCACACCCACAACCACATTTCCCGGTGAGAAATTTGGTAACAAAAATTACCAAACTAAAAATGAGAGAAGAGAATTTTACTTATGAAGGGCGTGATTATGACCAGTACATACAAGGCCAGCCCTGTGCTGTCTCGGACAAAGAATGTCGATATTGGACGAACCGAAACGACGGTGGCGGCGATGGCAATGGTGGCGAGCAACTGAACAGAAATGATGGAGTAAACCTTGCGGATGAAGGCCCACCGGAGATGCGGCGGCTCCAGCATAACCAGGAACCGGGGCCCCGCTCCGGCCTCGGCGTCCACCTTACGGTACGGGTGGCTCCACATCATATTTGCTCCGGCGATCGGCGCGTGGTTTGTACGCTGTTTGGCTGCCGAGAAAGTTTCAGAGATGGGCGGGAAAAGTCGGTTGTGAGATTTCTTCTTCTTCTTTTAATTTATTTTTTTTTGGCGGTGAAATGTGAAGAATAAAGTGACATGTATCGAATGTTGGCGGTGAGTGGAAGGTGGAAATCGGTTGGAGAATGTTAGGCGAAGCATCCACGTGTGTGACAGGTCGAATGAAATGATAACACGTGGGCTGATTCTTATTACTGTGCCTGCCACGTCAATTGCTTATTAAAAATGATACGAGATTGTTATAAAAATAAAATAATAGTGTGAAAAAAAATATATGGTATTTTTATAATATTGAAACTTTTTCTGGCATTCGTATTAGAAATTTGCTTTTCATACCGTTGGATTTTACGTTATTTTAATATTAGAGTACAAGACTATGTTAACCAATTTTGTATTCGCTTTATTTTAGGTTAAATTATAAATTAATGTAGTTGTATTTATTTAATTTAAAGATTTTAAGAAACTTAAATAATATCTCTTAATTCTAGATGGGAGATGGGCGATTCTATAATATTATTAATGTAAGCTAAAGATATGTTTATCAGACATAGATGACATGAGCAAAACATTTTTATTTCTTGTTTTTTTGTTTAGATATCTTATTTTTCATTTTCCCTAAAGATAACTTATTTCTAAAATTTTTACATAAGTTTAAGAACATTTTTAAAAAAAATGAGAAATGAGAAACAATTACCAAATATTTACATTTCTCAAAAACTAAAAAAAAAAACATAAATGTTACCAAATCTATAAGATACCTACTAATTCCCTTCCATTTGAAGGTAATTTTCACCTCCAAAATAAATATACACAGAACAAAAGGAAATGAGTTTTTTTTTGCTTTGAAAATAGTGATTACATCTGTCCATTTTATAAGAAAATCCAGCCAAACAGCACATAATCTAATAGTTAAGATCAAAAAATAACAAATGAAAATGAAAATTCTCTCAAAAGGAACTGAGCTCTTCAATGAATTCATATGGACTGTCACCACATCTCTGTTGAAATAAAGGAAAACTATAATCTAACCTATAAAATTAAAATTATCTTAAAATTAGTGCAAGTATCAAAATTGGTAAGAACCCAACTTCTAGCATATCAGGAAGAGAGGAAAAAAAACATTGTTCAGGCTTCCATTCTCCTCAATTTCTAAGAACCTAACTTTTAGCATATGAAGAAGGGTACAAGAGAGGCAAAAAAGAAACAGAAAAAAAAAAGAGAGAGGCTAAATTCCTAGTAAGTTGAGTGAGAGTTGAGGCAATGTACAAGTGGTAATGGTAAGTTTTAGAAGTGGGTATTGAACTTACACTGTTGCCTCCTTGAAGCTTTTGGCCAACCATATGGCAGTCTCTCTGGGAGAAACCTTCTCAGGTCCAAACGGCTTCAGCAACACCCCAAGCTCTTCAAATCTTTCTTGCTGTAGTAATTTGGCACTGAACTCCAGAAGCCCCTCCAGTGCCTCGGCCCGTTGCTGGTACGATGAGGTGTCGAACCGACGCTGCCGTGCCTCGAACGATAAACGGCTTGAAGAGGCAATTATTGCTGGATTGTGATCAAAGTAGTCACTTCCATTCCCAGGAACCCTGTAGCTGGAATTGAGAGGACTGGATTTCGTCGTGGTGGTTTTGTCCATGACCTGGACTGTGCATTTGTCCTTCGTAATTGAGCAGTTGGTGAAATCTTGTGAGTTGGCAGAGCACTGTGGTGATGTTGATGAAGTCCCACGGATGTGAAGGAGAGGATCCTCGGAAGAAGCCAAGGGGAATTCTGCAATCTTATCGATTCTCGGGGCATTGACGGAGATATTGGGAGAGTTCATGCTATGAAGCAGCCCGGTACTCGACCTGTAAGGAGTGGGAAAACCTGCAGCTTTTATTGACAGTGGAAGAGATGCCCTGCGAGCTGATTGTGAAGATCTTCTAGCTGGGGTATGTGATGCTGGAATCTGCAAACCAACAAACCGAAAATGAATAATTTCAATAGTTGGTGTTTAACATGTTCTAAGGATAAAAAGCATGAATTTAACGAATACAAAAAGGAACATACTTGCTCCTTACCGGTGAGGACCATGGTTCTCACCACCATTAAATGTTTGACAACTAAGAGAGAGAAATGCTATATAAAATAAAAGATTTGTCAATTTTCCAATGGTGGTGAGGACCAAACCGGTAATAAGCCAAGGCATTTTTCACATATATATATATATATATACATATATATATATAAAACCAGACATGTTTGGGAAAGCCCCTAAAAATTAAACTCAGCTTGAATAGCAGAATCTTAACCAGTTATGCCAATGTATCTAATAAATCTCTGTAATATATAAGTGCAAGTATCAAAATTATTATTAAATGATATAAATTACGCTGCTTTTATTATAAATATAAACTTACAGAATTGAAGTTTGCAGGTGAAAACTTCGATGAGATCGTCTGCTTTTTGGGTGTAGCAGAAGCCTTAGCAGCAGTAGCCAATCTTGGGGTTTTCGAAACTGTTGGGAACTTTGTAATTCTTGACTGCTCAACATCACTTTCTTTCTCCACACCACTACCAACAGAAAATTCATCAAACTTTCTATTCAAAAAACTGGGCAACTGCTGCGATCTTCGGGAGGAACATGATGAATCTTCCTCGGTCATGGAGATGCTCGGATTTAATGCCCTATCATTACTAAAGGACAGCCTCTTCTCTCTAAATTTTTTTGTGCTATCAGATCCAGGCTCTACAAATCTTGTTTTCTTGATGTAGTTTGTATCAGACCTTCGAAGGGGAAAAGTATTTCGCCTAGGGCTGTTCAATTTAACGTGGATCTTAAGAATGTAAGGCTGGAGCTGCGGATGATTCAGCAATTCAGCAGCCTAGAAAGTAAAAGCAGAAAAAAAAATCAAGAAATCCACCAGAAAACATAAAAATCTAGTCAATGTTCCATAGAACTCCATGAATATTAAAATTTTAATTGTTGCTATGTAACTAGAACAGTGCGACAGTGAGTAGTTCCAGTGCCATAAAGATCATTTCAAATACTTCTTTTCTTCATTCTCGTCTACAAATTTTCTTATAAACTGAGAAGCGTGATCATGCAGAACAAACCTGGCTAAACAACAATAGTATTATATAATAAATACTGTCCACAATAACAGTAATATTTAACCAGAACATTAATGATATTGGCTTCGGCTTACTATTCATTCTTTGATGTAAATTTATTTCTTTAAATAAAAGCAATTAACGTGAAATAAAGAAGAAAATGGGAAGATAAGACGTACACTTGGTCGAAGCTCTGGATTTTTTCGCAGCATGCTTTTGACAAGCCCTCGACTGAATGGGAGATCAAAGAAGTATTTTAGAAAAATCAATATCATTATTCAACTGCCAAATTAGTATAAGAGTATGGATAATTGCTGATTATAAGATAACTTGGCAATGCAGAGAGGGGGAGGAAAATAACATCAATGTTTCAAAACAAACAAGAAAGACAGAATATATTTCAGTTTTCAGTGAATACTAGTCGATTAAATATACAGAAGATGGATTCAGACTCACAATGCACCGGAATACATGGTTGGAAGTGGAGCCACAATGGACTTGTTTATTTTATTGATCAAGGATTGCATATCCTGCTCGGGAAAAACATCAAGTTAGTCTTATCCTGCTCGGGAAAAACATCAAGTTAGTCTTGCCCAAGAAAACAGGACCACATGTTCGTGTGATCTAAACTACATTAAGCAGGTAAAAAGACCCATCAGTTTCTCTGGATAGAAATATAATATTGATAAGCAACTACAAGCAACTTACGAAGGCTTTAAATGCTGGCTTGTGGGCAGCCATTTCATATATGCAACATCCTGAACAGAAAGATGGTGCCCATATAGACATTCAAGAAATCACAACTGATATAAGATAGAAATATAAGGATCAATAATAGGTGGTTTACCAAGAGACCATATATCTGACTTTGAACCGTAAGGTATGTCAGCAAGAAGCTCAGGACACATGTAACTTGGAGTACCCACAACCTGCAGTGCATCAGAAATATTGTAAGTCTCAAAATCTAGCAACCTCATCCCCTTACTCACTTACAACCACCACCACCACCAAAATCCAAATAGATATACATGCACGCTGGGGAAAAACATTATAAATGTATTCACACACTCTCAGGCATGCTACTCACAGATGAAGCAAGATCATCCGAGGTCAACATCTTAGCAAGGCCAAAATCACCTGCAGCCAATACAGGACATATATTCATTAATTTCAAATAACACTAGAAATGAAATATTGTGTGCAAGTTGATGACAAAAAAGATATATAGGGAAACAAAGGCCGATGGGGGTTACCGAGGCGAATATCTTGGTCTTTTGTCAAGAATATATTTGAACACTGTAGTAACCATAAAAGACCTTAAGAACATAGTAGCTTAAAAAGAACTGGGTGATGTTATCTAACAAGGGCATTCGCAGTAAAGTACTGACCTTGACATCACGGTGAAGAATATGGTTGCAGTGAAGGTAATCAAGTGCCATAAGAAGTTGAACAAGCCACTTACAAAGTTTCTGCATAGTGTTAAACAAATCAGGCTGATCAGCTAACAACTAAACAGTATTATCAGCAAAGCAAAAGAATCCAGCCATCAAAAGAAAAGACACCTCTTCAGGAAAATGAACACCGTTGGCTCTTTTTATAGCCTCAGCCCTGTTAAAAAATAAGGAATACAGGAAAGCTATAGAGATACCACAGAAAAATAATGCTGAAAATGAAATTGAAACAGACATATAGTACTTGAGGGAAAATTCTATTTAGATATTTTCTACTTGGTGCTCTTTGGATACAATTTTTGTAATTATTCCCCTACCCAGACAGCTACTACAGAAAGGTTTTCTGTATTCCTTTTGGTCAGCCTTGGATGCAGATTATCTACATTTCCTTTGGTAATAAAGAAATTGATGTTTCTTAACACAAGAATAAACTATTATGGAAGAAATTTCAGCAGAACTTACATGTCACCTCCTTCACAGTATCCTATAACAATACACACGTAACAACCCTGGAAGAGAATATTTCAACAAATCAGGGACACGACATAGAATGAGCTCCATAAAACCAGAAAAAAAAAGGAATGGAGGAAGAGAAAATGCTTTATTGTGCATTCGAAAAAATAATATAACATGAAAAAAAAAAGAGAGAGAGATAGAAAAAGTTAATAAAATTAACATTATTCAATTCAGAATAATACTATAAGTGAATACACAATGATGATCAGAGTAATTGAAATCATATGTACATAATACATATATGTTAAAAGTTAAAAATACGTTCTTAAGATAATGGAGTTAAACGCTCACCCCAGATGCATCAAAATTCCATAAGAAAACAGATGCATCAAAATAAAGCTCCAGTAGGCAACATCATAAAATACTCACCTTTTCTACCCAAGAATCTTTGTACTCCACAATAAAGGGGTTGCGTGCTCTAGATATAAGCTCCATCTGAAGAAAAATAAAGCAACTAATCATGTGATCATGTTTTTAAAAGACTAATCATGTAAACATGTTGTAGCTGACACCAGGAACAGCCTTTTTAAATAGTATTTCTATTTCTCATATCACATCTTAGAACATGCATTTTCAAGAAACTTAAGAATGCTAAAATCAACCTGAAGATAATTAGATTTGATTGTTATTTACACCAGCCAATCCAGTCCTTACATTCACAGCCTACTTTTGTTCACAAAAGGAAGTAGGTGGCATTAACAGATTTCTTAAATGCTTGCAACCTGCTATTAATTAATGACTTCTCACACCAACAAGGTGACATATTTAAGACTCAAGAACATCATTGTCAAATCTAAGTTCCATATATTAGAATGATGTCTCCTTCAGCATAATTACCACTGACCTCCTGATGAGCTGACCTTCTTGTTCTATCAGTCTGGCGAGCAAGACGAATCTTCTTGAGGACATATCTAAGGAAATGCAAAGGTAAGATCAAAATTACCATATCTACTAATTGAAACTATGTCTGTTATCCTGAACTGTATTTAAACTTAAGCCATAATCCATATACTAAATATAGGCAGGAAATTTTCTTACCTTTTCTTTTCAAGCTTATGCCTTACAAGAAGAGCAGAGCCAAATGAACCCTTGCCAATCTGCTCTAGAATTTCATACTGCTCCATTTCTGTGTCAGCACACTGCAGTTCCTTGACAAATGAAAGAGTGTTGCATCCAGGCCACTAACTGACATTCATTAAACAATAAATAAATAAAAAGAAACTTGTACAGTATCATCAGCTCTTTTGCTCTGAATAAGAAACATTCATCAATTTCAAACTCAAACGCATAAAAATTTAGGCCAGTTTTCTGAAGCCATAGTCATTTTAAAATGACTCTTCAAGTTCAAATAACCAACAGTGAAATTATATAAATCTCAATTGGCAGATAGTTGATAAATTTGTATATAGTAAGGAACATGCTACTAAATCGTGCCCATTTTCTATCTGGAATCAGTAGTATATGTACCAATGTCAATATGACATCAGAGGCCCCATCTCACGACCCATAGACAGGATAATTTAGGAGCAACCTCATAAAATTTGAGACACAGACTACAAACACAGAGCCACAGACAAGAAGGAGAGTCGTGTGCCGTACATTCCCAACGACTAGGAAAAAAACATGCCTAGGGTAACGAAGCAAATCCCTCGCAATCGAATCCAAAAACTTAACACCCATTGACGCAACTGGATCCAGTACGCGTAAAGAACCAAAGTTTTGAGTTCAAACACAAAAAATAGGCGGCATTGTCTCCCTCACGCTCGTCCTCCCCATTTGCTGAACATCAACGGTTAAGAAAGCCATAAGAAGCGAATTGCTCAACATTTAGAAGTAAGTACGAAAACAGACGATACACCGCGCCAGATTAACCAAATGCAAGCAGAAAAAAAGACAGCAGTAGAGTAGGTAAGCAAGAAGTAGAACGGACCGACGAGAGAGTTTTCTTAACGAAAAACACAAACGCAACTGAAAACAGGAACAATGCAAACTGTCTAGGGCAAAAACAGCGACTCGAAGCATGAATCTTTCCCGAGAAGTTTCGTAGTCCAAAAAGAAACCAAAAATGAGGTGCAGAGAGAGTCGCAAACCTTGAATATAGTCGGCAGAAGAGGCGATTTCTCTCCGGCGAGCGCCCCGATGGAAGAAGAAGAAGCGAAAATGAAGCTTTATTCCAGTAGTTGCTGTTGCAGGAGTGAGCCGAGAGGAAAATTTTGCAGAGAAAAATGGAGAGAGCGGTGCGGTAGATTGAAACTGCTCAACCATTCTTTATTGTATAATCCATTATTGCAATGAGAGAGAGAGATTTGGAAAAAGAAGCAAAAGAGACAGAGAAATTCAAAGTTTCAAATTTGTAGAGAGAGAGAGAGAGAGAGAATGCGAGTTTTCTTTTTTCTTTTTTTTTTAATTATTTGATTTTGTGGCATTTTCTGGGGATTCGCGAAAACGACTTCGCGCGAGTGAAATCCAGTGCACGGACGGAGGGCCGGGCTCGGATTCTGTACCCCGCCAGTGTACGAAATCTTACGGTGCTCCGTTGCCGTCACTTAATACGACGACGTTTCTTCTATTTGTTTTAACCACAGTATTAATGTAACCCACGATGATTTGGCAAGAAAGAAAGTTAGTTGGATAAAATAAAAGTAGTAAGAATAAAATTTTGATTAAAAATGTTAACAATTTTGACTAAAATGTTCTTTCACTTCTCCGTTCATAAATTCTTTTTTATCTAATTAATAATAATAGTTTTTTTATTGAATCTATTAAAGAACATCTTTTAATTATCTTGTTATCAAATTATTTTTTCTCGTCCAATCAACATGTGTCAATATTTAAGTAATTATGTTAATAACATAATTTATTTAAATTTATATCGGAAGTTTTTAAACGCAACCAATAAAGTTTAACAATTAAATTTATAATTTAATCATTTTTTAAAATTGTTATTTTCACTCATGGTTGAAATTTTTGTGATTAAATAAATATGAGAAGAGATAAAAGTCATAAAAGTATGATGTTTGGGGATTTGGTGTACTTGTAATAAAGGATTTGAAAATGTTGTACTTGAAATTAAGAAGTTTAATTAGGAATTTGATAAATGTGAAAGAGAGGTTTGAAAAGTAAATTTCTGTTGAGGGGGAAATTCGGATTTTGTTTCTAATTTTTAAATTCACTAAATAAAATTAATTAAATAAATATAGTTTGACAGTGTTTGAAAATTTTATTTTTTAAAACAACCTATATTTCCAGTGTTTTCTGATTTTAAATTTAAAATTTTTAAATACATGATCATATTGAAAAAAGATAGAAAAGTTTATAAATATATTATTTCATATTATAACCTCATTTTATTTTTGTTATAATTAAAACATTTAAAATATAATATTATTATAAATTATATAACATTGTAAAATAATAATTATACAAAATTTAGAGCAAAAATGTTAATAAATTAATTGACATTATTTTATATTAAATAAATATTTAGTTGGCAACTACTATTAATTTAAAAATATATTCTTAAATATACGTCGAACAAATTTTTAACTTAAAATTCAATTTTCAAATCTGCTACCAAACAAATATCTAAAAACAAATAATACCTAGTTCGATTATTATTTTTGACTTTACTTATTATTATAAAAAATGACTCACTATCAAAATGAAAGACTCGATCATCTATAGGATTTTCCCCGAACCATTGACTGACCCTTGTTCGGGAGGGAGAAGTTTATTCACAATGTTCAAGCAGCATTCTTGTCGGAAGGATTTTTTAGGAGGCCCGGACACCTACCGAACATCCCTGATGGATTCTGAGTCGGATACTTCCTTCATATGAAGCGGATTCCCCGGTGTTTGAGTAGGCGGCAAAGGCAGACGAAGGGGGGAAAACGAAAGGCGTTTTCTGGTGGAAAAGTTCTTTGATTGGAAAGAACGAGACGAGGTATGCGAAGATGAAATTCCTAAGCACGGGTCATGCCTCAATTTGGTGGATAGGGAAATGCACACACTTGTAGTCGTTTCAGATGCGACATGAATCCAATTTGCATTTCATTCGGGAAAAGTCATCTTTTTCTCAACTTTTTCTCCTCTTTTCCAATTCCATCAATTTTTGTTGAGGCAATTCTTACTTGTTTATCGGCAACTGATCTAGCTCCTGAAATATATGACATTCTTGATCCTTCCTTTTACTAGTCTTCTCGACTTGAATTATCATAACATAAACGAAGGGTTCTATATACTAAGGCTAAGGGAAGCTGTAGGAGTAGCACTAGGAATAGTAGTCAATTAGACTAAATTAGCTTAAAGCCTAAACTTTATTTTTCATTTAATCCCTTGTTTTCCATTTCTATTTTCTGATTACCAACCAAATATACTTTAAGAAATTTGGTTTAAAAAAATACAACTTGGTCCCATCATTTTAGTATGTAACAATTTAGTTACTTCCAAATTTGAAAGGAAATAATCTTTATTTAAGATTTAATGAAATTTCTTATATATGTAAATCAATGAATTGATGAGAGACTAAGTCGTTACATAATGAAAATTGACATTTGATTTTGATGAGATTTTTTACTGTAGGAATTAAGTTGTTGCAAATTTTAAACTATAAAGACTATATAAATTGTTACATACTAAAATCGAGAGACTAAATTGTTACAAATTTGAAAGCATTGAATTAAATCATTACAAAATAAAATTTAGAGACTAAATCGTTACTTTATATAGGACAGATGTTCTCTAATCAAGAATTTTTTTTTTTTGAGATAAAGAAATTTTGATATAATTTAACTTAATAGTTATTTTTCATAACCAAATAATGAATGGATCTAACTTTATAAATGAAACAATTCTTAGCAATATTTATTCTTTTATGTGAGATCAAATGGATGAGAAATTAAAATTCAAAATAGAGCCCTGAAGTTGAAAAATAGAGGGAAAAAATTGTGAATTTGAATTTAAAAAATTCTTTTGAAATTTGAATGTGAATTTAAAACATGAAGGGAATCTCATCTAACTATATGGTGTCTATCTTTCAATGGATATATTCAATGAGTACTGGACTTAATTTTCATATAGGCATTTTGAGATAAGGGTCCCAATGAGGGCCACTTATAAAGGATGTTAACTCAAAGGAGTAGAGTCCAAGCTAAGCATGTCCCTTTAAAAAACTTCTTATGAAGAAGAAGTACATCTTTTAAATGCTTGTCTCCAATCATTGTTTTACATACCTCGTCGAGTCAAAGTGATTTTGTGTACTAAATTTCTCATATAAAAAAAACACCGATTTATATCATCAGATCTCGAAGGCGTAGACCTTCTGGACTTGTCGTCATTAGAAGTTTCATAAAGATCTTCAAAGTGTAACATGAATTGGTAGGACCTTCTTGACTTGTCAGTGGTTGAAAGTTTCATAAAAAGCTTCAAAGTATTTAACATTAATCGGTAGTCAAACATGACTTTGACTAGAGATTTCTTGCTAAAAACCTCAAACCTAAACTTGAAGGAAATTTCAAATACTAACATTTTTTTTACCTTGAATTGGAGTTTTTCTCCTCGATCTTAAATGAATTAGTGATGTCAAATTCACATCACTCCACAAARATATATTCTCAAATAAGCATGAAAGAAAATGTTTCAAATTTCAAATACAAACATTTTTTCGTCCCTGAATTGGAGTTTTTCTCCTGGATCTTAAATGAATTAGTGATGTCAAATTCACATCACTCAGACAAAGATATATTTTCAAATAAGCATGAAATAAAATGTTTCAAATTTGAAATACAAACATTTTTCCGTCCCTTGAATTTGAGTTTTTCTCTTCGGTCTTAAATGAATCATGGATCTTTAATAATGGAGGAAATGTCAAATTCACATTACTGGACAAATATATATTCTCAAATAAGTACGGAAGAAAATGTTTCAAATTTCAAATACAAACATTTTTTCGTCCCTTGAATTGGAGTTTTTCTTCTCAATCTTAAATGAATTATGGATCTTAATAATGGAGGATATGTCAAATTCACATCACTCGACAAATATATATTCTCAAATAAGCACGAAAGAAAATGTTTCAAATTTCAAATATTGATAAAGAAAAAACCATGCAAATGAAGTAAAGTTGAGCATACCTACTATAAGTAAACTCACAAAAAAAAAAATTCAAAAGGAGTTGAAAAAAATTGTTGATATGAAAATTCTTGTAAGAAATAACTTTATAATAATAATACATTGGTTGAAAAGAGTTAAAAAGACCCCAACTCTCTAGAAAAGAACTTTTTTGAAACTCAAAGAAGCAAAATAAGAGGAGACAATGAATTTTACGGGAGGGTAAAAATTGACATGACACGTGAATCAATTGTATCAGTATCAGTTTGAAGAGGTTGATAGAATATATCCACCAAAAAGATCAGGTCTTAACTACCCACGAGGACTGACTTGAAGAGATTTGGAAGGCTAACAGATTCTTCTTAAATGTGCACATTTGAACTAGAGGGAAAACGAGTTAAGATCTAATAATATGAAAATGCACAAACTTGTGTCAGAACATCATAACATATTTGTCCCCCTATAAAGGGGACACAACTCTAATGATTCAGCTACCCAATTTTGTCTAAGACCGACTATAGTTTGTGCTCTCAATGACTTGAGCTTCGTTATGTTTGTTCTTGCATTTTCGGGTTTATCGAAAGTAGACTTATGAAGCTTGGTAAAATTCAGCATCTAATAAACTTTATTTTATATATTGATGAACAACTTAAATTACCTCATAAATATCTTTGAGAAGCACTTATTTTCTTGTGCATTAGTATTATTAACGTGGTCACTTGAAAACAAATTACACCTTTTTCAAATGATAGATCTGTCCAATTGAAAATGAACTTTGAATTTAAGGGAAACTTCAATAATTGCACGTGTTAGCAGATTTTAAGGAAAAAAACATCTAGAAAAGTCATTGTTATGGGAAGATAAAATGAGATTAGATTAAACAATGGAGGACGAAAATTGGGTCGAGAGAGGAGGAAGCTCACAAAACCAGGTAATAGGAGGCTGGAATTGGTGACCCAGGCAGACCACGGTTGACTCGGGGTCGGTGCCGAGTAGTGCTCGATGCCGATCAGGTCTTGGCGTTGGTAGTTCTCTTCAATCCTTGTGCAAATTGATCCAGTTCTACCCTGTCTCGACCCTCGATCCAACATTAGGCACACAACGAAACGCACGGACCGAGAAGTCTAGATCTCTTGGGCACACTAAGATTTGACTTTTATAATTCTTAAAGGGTTAGGATTCGACTTCTAGGTCTTTAGTGCTCTTTTATTTTGTA